GGAGGCTGTCAACATTTTTTTTGTTGGTGCAAACACTTTACCTATTTTTTTTTCTGCTTCTACACAAAGATGGAATGTACTAAAGGGTCATATCAATGATGAAAAAGTTTTGAAGAAACTGTCAAGCACGCAGTGAGGAGCACACGCTGTTGCCACAGATACAATTTTAAAATCGTATCCTCAAATTCTCGACGCGTTACATTCTATTTCGGAAGATATGGATCAAAAAGGAGAAACTAGACAAGAAGTAATGAATATTGAAAAAAAAATGCAAGAGTTTGAGTTTGTTTTCATGGTTACGATGTGGAATGATATTTTGCATCAATTTCATTGGACATCACAATCCCTTCCAAATGCAGAACTTAATTTGCAAGTTTGCAGTGATTTGTGTATAACGTTGGCTTTTTATTTACAAATTCTCAGAGAAAGATTTGACGAATACGAGAACAAGTCCAAAGAAATTTTGCCCGGCTAACCGAAGACGTTCGGAAGTACAAGTCAATGATGGTCCAGCTAAAGTTGCTATTTTATCTGCAAGGGACAAATTTCGCGTTTCGACTTTTTATTTCATCGTCGACACTCTTCAAGTCGAGATGAAAACGGGAGGCGAGGTTTACGAAAAGCTGGCAGACAAATTTTCGTTTTTATTAAAAATGAATTTAACCAACGATGAGTTGTTTGCCAAGATTGAATCTCTTTTCGCATTGTATCCTGAGGATTGATATTCAAATCTTGCTGATGAATTACAACAATTTCTCCAGTACGTTCGTTTGAAAATGGAAAAAGATGAAAGTATTAGTGCGAATTTCACTGATTTTTACAAGATCATGGTGAATGATCAACTTCAGTCTTCCCTAATTTGGAAATCTGCTTCATTAATGATAACAAATTTTTCTGGAGAGCGTTCTTTTTCGCAGTTCAAAAGGATAAAAAATTCTTTAAAGACTACGATGTGCCAAGATTAATTTTGATTCGTTGGCTCTTCTGTCAAACGAATCGGATGTTATGCGTCGCATGAATTTTGACAAATTGAATGAGAAGATTTCGCTCGTGAAAAGTGCAGAAAAAAAGAAGGTTTAAATTGTAAGCGATCGTTTTTAAGTAATTTTGTAAATAAGTTTAAAAATGAAATTAGTTTGAATATTGCTTTTTCAATAAATATACAACATAAAAATAATTGTGTCTCACTTATGCATTCATAAACAAAAGAAATTAACAATTAAATTAAATAACAAAAAAAAATAAGGTGCCCCAAATCAATCACTGCTTAGAGCCCCACCGACTGTTAATCCGGCCCTGTAGGGGATCAATGTGTCAGTTCCTAGATTACTTTTACAACCCAAAGATTGACATTGACCCATTGATTGACATTGCACAAGAAATAGTTTCTGGGTATATTTCTGAGGTAATGAAAGCTCAACCATGTATTACTAATAAGGCGGGGTAATTAAGTATTGCGCTTACTGTTTAAAAACAATATATTTAATTATCTAGTAACAATCCGGCTGATGATGATGATGAAATTCAATAAGTTGAGTTATGAAAGTTTATTAATTCCAAAATCATCAATTACATCGTCGTATGAATATTGTTCATTAGCTGACTTTATGCACAAAACCGCTACGGTGTTTAGCTTTTTTATCTTATGGTAGATCTTAGATAATTTTTTATCCGTTTTAAGAAAGAAAAGCTTCTCCCATAAATGCGAACTGCTGTATCAAAGTTTAGATAAACGTTTTGCAAATTCTCTTTTAGCAGGCGCGAAGATGGACTTCTCAATCACCCAGGATCAGGTTTCTAAAATTCTTTCAGAAAAGTCTTAGTGAAACCTGTTTCTAAATTATCAGAATTCATTTCTGACAAGAAAAAGACCTTTTTCCGCAAGAGTGGATGATAACAATTCACTAATTTTGCTCAAAAACTAAAACTTTTCATTGAATCTGTAGAAGGCTTTCTGTCGTTCTTCTTTCGTTTCTCTAAGAAAAATATGTTATCCCTGAAAATATCACTTGTAGTTATTCTCATTTCTTCATCGGGTGTTTGAACTTTTTTCCTTTTCGGTTGTCTTTTTCCCAATGTCTTTTGCATACTGATTCGACACGCTTATTAATTCTATTGCATTTTCTTCGAAAAACTTAAAATCTTCTTGCTTAGCTACGAAAAACTTGGAAAAAGATTCGTAAAGATCTAATCTGCGGTAGAAACCTAAATTTCAATATTCCACACAATAACTATTACCGCTATTTTCAGTTTTTCTGAATTCAAAAGTATTCCTGTCGCTTTGTTTCGCGTTACAGGCTTCTCGGTATTATTTTATCATCTTTGATTGATTCTAAAGTTGACCAACGTGTCAAATTTACTCTATTCAGTGTTTTCTCTTTCTTGATTTAAGTCATTAATTTTTTCCTAGCGTCATGTTGAACTTACATAAAAATGTAGATTTTTTGAAGCAACATGAAGAAGCAACAAGCTTTTGTGCAACATTAAGTAGCCGCAGTTGCCACTAAATCTAAAGAGTGGGCAGAGCAAGGAACAAAAAAGTGGTTTAGAGTTTCGAGAGCTGCAGCGTGGCTTTACGTGGTAGAGTCACGCTGCAGCTATATTATGGTTGTACAATGAATGGGTCAGCTCAACCGGGAAAGGACCACGCTCTCTCAGAATACCAGCGTAAAATAGCACCTTAATACTGCTGTGTTTCCTAAGGTGAGTGTAGAGAACCGGAGATCCTTTTTTACTGTAAACGAGGCATTCCATCTTAGTCCTTAGGGGTGACAACAGATCTGCGATTTAATTCTTAATCGAGGATAAATGTAGATGTCTATGGGCCACAGAATCCACTTACCATCAGATGGACTGTGTGCTCGTTTGTCACCCTTATTCTATATAAAAAAAATAATGGACAAAAATATTTCTTCAGCCCTCCTTTTATTTAAATCTCTTTAATTTGTGTAAGACATAACAAAAATTAAGCCTTAAATTTTCCGCCCAAAAATCTGCCGCCCTAGGCTCCAGCCTACTAAACCTGCTGGTAAATCCGCTACTGTTGCGCCCGCATAATCGATAATAGAGAGGAGTAAAGATTGTGCTAACATAATCTTAGTAGGAATGGGAAGAAAATAATGTAAACGCCTGAGCAAACCTATAGCAGCAAAAGTCTTTCTACTAACCTACTTCAATTGATGAGACCTCGAAAAAGTAGCATCGAAGTGGACACCAAGGTTTTTAACGGTGGTACTGTATGGTATTACGACACCATTCAATACCACCGAGGGAAAGTTATTCCAGTCAAGCCTTGAAATCATGCCAGCACTGCTAACAATAATGGCCTGAGACTTACAAGGCCCACCTGAAGCCCATGGCACTTACTCCATTCGCTAATAGCCGCGAAGTCAGCACTGATGGTAGAAACAGCGGTAGGCAAGTTCTCTAGAGTTGACTGCGTATAAACTTGATGATTGTCTGCATACATGTGATAGAGAGAAGATATTTTTTGGGAGAATGAATTAATGAAGATAGCAAAGAGTAAAGGAGACAACACACCACCTTGAGGTACTCCAGCTCGCAGTTCACACCAAAATGAAAATTTATCTTCAATGCGAATGCGCTGCCGGCGGCTTCTAAGATAACTTTGAAACCAGCCAAGCACTGATGGAGATAGAGTAATAGAACGTAACAGCCCTAACAAGATATTAAAATCAACGGTATTGCTAAAATCTAATAATACTAACACAGTGAGCTGTTTATTATACATACCTCGTCGAATATTGTCAATAACTGTAACCAAAGCTGTAGTCGTACTATGACCTAACCAGAAACCGGATTGAAGAGGATTTAAAAGGCAATTTCTATTGAGGTATATACTTAATTGGTGAAAAACTAGTTTCTCTAGGACTTTAGATAGAAATGCAAGAATGGAAATGGGGCAAAAGTCTGTAAATTATGAGGCTTGGGCCTTCTTAGGGAGAGGAAATACTTGTGCGCTTTCCCAAGCGTCAGGAAATTTAGAGGTGGAAATAGATTTGTTCAGGATACGGGTGAGAATGGGAGTAAAAAAATAAAGGTTAGGTAACGGGATGGTTAATATGTTCTTCTTAACATCACAGTCAGTGAAAGGAATGAACTTAAACAGTGAGATATTAGGAATTTGTATTGAAAAAATAATACTCAGCGTGCATTCTTTGTCTGAGCTGTCTATTGTACTAGATGAAGTAAAATGTTGATTAAGGAGTTCAATAACAATATTATTATGCGATGAACTAGGAGATGCTTTACCAACTCCAAGTGATTGAAGAAATTTCCAAACCTTGGCAGTATCGCCGTTTTCAACTGATTTGTGAATGTGGCGTCGTTGTGCATCCCTACACAATGTATTGAAGTGATTCCGAACTTTGTTGTGATTGCGCAGATTTTTTTTCAGATCTATCGGCCTTGAGCTCGCTTTTCGCGAAGCCTTTTTTGATTACTTGATGTTTAAGATCATTTGTTAGCCACGGCGCAGGTAAGTGTTTTATTTTTATAGGTTTTACTGGAGCATGAACGTCATACAGTTATATGAGAAAAGAGTTAAATAACTCAACTTTTGTATCGACCGCAGTGACGTTTGTCACAGCGGCCCAATCCAAAAGACGAGCATCTTCAATAAGGCGAAATCTTTCAATAATTTTTTATCATTTTGTTCTTAATATAAAAATTAAATTAAGTTAAGAATTTAAATTAAAATAATTAATTTTAAATTTTAACCCGCTGCTATTTTTGCGCCACCCTAATTTAGTGAATTTCGACGAATACTTTGTCATACACAGAGATAGTCCTTTTTACCTCTACCTTCCACAGTTGTAAAGTTCTGAAAGAGTGACACATAGATAATATAAGGCAAGAGTGACAAGTAGAAAGGTACTCTGTGACAAGTGACAAGTGATGTCAAGTGGCTAAAATTATTGAAATTTCATTTTGAGTTCCTAAAAAATAAAATAAGTTTTAGATAAATTTGTAAGAAAACTATGCCGGAAATGTCTCTTAAGGATTCCATAATGACTTCTATGAATGGTGAATTTTATTATAATGCTTTTCTTAGTTATAAAATGAGGTTTAATTTGTTTTACACCAAGTTACATAATTTTGTTTTGTTTTTCTATATATCTTCTTCGTGCTGATGCTTAATTATAGATGCAGGGTGCCCTACATTTCTGTGACTTAACGTCGTAACGTAACGTCATTTCTTCAAGATATATCACCAATAAATTATTAAAATGGGTGACGACCCATTTACATTTGGTAATCAGATTTTGTCGTCTTAAAATTTCGTGTGGTTGTTTTTAAATTAATGTCTCTTGTGGTAGTGTATGTATGGCTACTAACTACATAAATACTTAAGTTTCAATAATAGTTGTGTTTATTTGTTATTTTTTTAAATAACATTTCTATTAAAATCTACATAGGACTGGATTGCTATGAAAATATAATACTCTGTATTCACAGTGTGGTTTATTAGGTAATTCATTGCTTGAATATATTATTAGTAATTTATCTATCTAGTTAGCATCTAAACTACTAAAATTTTAACTCAATCAATTTAAAAGTCTAAACTTTCATGTTGGCTTATTCCAATTTTTGTTATTTAATATTGATTTTCTTTTGGTCTAAATGATTATAACGGAATCATTTATTTCATGGTGTTTACAAAATGTATTATTAAATATCCAACTAAATTAACTACCTATAAATATATATATATATATATATATATATATATATATATATATATAAATATATATATACTAGCATGCCAGGCAGAAGTTCTGCCCTTTTCGACGACCCTTTGTCATGTCCTATTAAAATTCCTTCAATTCGCAAAAAAAATTGTGGGCCACTCATGGGCAAAAAAACTATTCTACCTCTCAAGTTGGACCAAACTGCACATGGTGTGCAAATTTTATTAAAATCGGTGGAGTAGTTTAGGAGTCCATCACGGACAAACAACATGACACGTAATTTGTATATATTAACATACAATTAATAATAGTATTTACAAATAATATTTATTACACATGATATAAAAAAAACTATAATATAGAAAAACTAATAGTGACTAAAAATTTGCTAGGTACATATAAGAAAGTTATAATTATTGTCTTTATTATTTAATTTAACACTTTCACTGTCCAAGCAGTTATTACAAATTTCCCGCTACTACCAAGCAATTATATATAGTATGTGCTGGGTACCGCATGTAGATCCCTGAACTCCCTGGGCTGATTGGGACGAGTAATTAGAATCAGGAGTCCCGAAGTCCCACATGTGACCCATTTTTAATTTTAATCTGTGGGGTTATTTTTAATCTATAGTACATTTTGTTATTAATCTATAGCAATCACCTGTTTAAATTTTTTAATAAAATTGTTTAAATAAAAACGAAAAATGTCTCGCAGAACAAATGACGAAGATATTTTACATTATTTAGAAAACAGTGACGAAGAATTATAATATTACAGTGATTCGTCATTAGATCCATTCCACGCTAGTGATGAAGATGATCCTGAATATTGATAGAATCAGGCATTACTTTGCGGAAATCCATTATAATAAAAAATAAAAATATAAATGTCTTCGCAACCTTCCGCTAAATAAATACAATGATGTGTCTTACCTGGATTGAAGAGCACCTCCCGCACTCCCTCAGTTGCATGCGCTAACTCCGTCACCACTAGTCCCAGCACCACTACTCCCAACACCACTATTCCAGGTAAGACATACCATCGACGATAATACGACACGTGTGCCTCTATACGAGGCATCCTCAGGTAATGTAGACTCTACGGTGGCTGACCGCTAATTAGTGGTCATTATGAAGTGCCTCAAGATAATCGACATGATTCAGGAAGTTCTGATAATGAAACATTAGAAAATATAAATAGATTCATTCAATATAGTCAGCCCCAACAAATGCACGTTGACGAAGAATTATTTTTACCGCAAAATGATTCAGACCAGAGAGATTTTGACAACATTCCTATGAATATTGCACAGTCACCAAATCCCATCGAAAATCAGGTGCCATCGGTGTCTGCAGTTTCTGTAAGTGAACTTTCTTCTCAAAATAGCCTTCGAAGTGATCCACATGAACATTTGAAAACTAAAGATATGAACAACGGATGGAGTTATACCGTTCGTGATCTACAACATTTACCATTTACTGATGAAGAATGTTTAGGCGTCGATGTTGAAAGTCATTCCACTGTGGAGTCTATTTTTTGTTATATCATAGACGATGAGTTTTTGGATATGATGGTGGAACAAACAAATATATATGCAGCACAAATTAGTTCGGACGCTGATAGACTTGCTAGATGGAAAGACGTGGATCGGAATATGATGAAAAAATTTCTAGGAATTATTCTTTACACCGGTATTGTTGTGAAGCCGACCCTGGAATGCTATTGGAAAAAGGATCCAATTTATTACCATCCACTCATGCATAAACTAGGCATGTCCTATAATACACATTAGATGCTGGCATTTTGCTGATAATTCAGACCCATGAGATCCAAATAATAGATTATACAAAGTACAGCCCCTTGTTGATAAAATCGTAAAAAAATCTCAACAACTGCTCAACTCCTGGCGATTGTGTTATAATTGATGAGTCCATGGTACCCTTCAAAGGTCGTCTTCTATTTAGACAATACAATCCATCCAAAACTAATAAATACGGAATAAAAATTTATAAGTTATGTACTGCAGATGGCTATACTTGGAAGTATGAGATATATTGCGGCACCGACGAAACAATAGATAATTTGGATAAGCCTGGCAGTATCGTTGTAAAATTATGTCGTTATTTACTTGGTGCTGGTCGTTTGATTGTCTCAGACAATTTTTATACTAGTTTTCCTCTAGTGACATATCTTTTAGCTAATCAAACTGATTTTTGTGGCACTCTAAGGAAAATAGAAAACATCTACCGGAATATGTGAAAGCAAAAAAGCTACAACGGGGTGATATTATTGCCAGCCAAAAAGAAAATGTTACCGTCAGCAAATGGAAGGATAAAAGATACGTTCTTATGATTTCCACCTGTCATAGTGATGAAATGTGTATGACTAGACAAAGAAATCCTAAACCAAAACCCAAAGTAGTTTTAGAATATAATTGAAAAAAAAAGAGCATTGATTTCTCGGACCAGTTATGCAGTTATCAATCACCAATAAGAATTTCATTGATAAGGTATAAAAAATTGCAATCGCCATGATTTTCGGCGTAGCAATTACAAACAGCGTTGTGGTTTATAACAAACTACTTCCAACTGCTGTACATAAAGAAAAAATGACTATACTTCAAGCTAAATCACATCTTATACGACTATTTTTGAATTTAGAAGAGGACACTTCCTCCATTCATCGTCTGTCATCATCGTCCATAATATCGATACTACCGTCACGAAGAACCAAAAATCATTATCTTGAAGAAATACCTCGTAAGGACGACACAAATATTATAAGGAGACAGTGCTCACTGTGTTACGATGAACAGCGAAAATTGGGACTGACAGTTGCTCAAGCAAATTCAAAAGCCACAAAAGTTCACCATATTTGTAAACAATGTGAGAAACCATTCTATTTGGCATGTTTTGCTAAATTTCATTTAGGTTAGGTCATAATATAAAACTCATATTCTATGTTCATTTTCTTTATTTCATTTACTGTTTTGTTTTTGTCATAACTTGGTCAAAAATAAAGATATTTGGAGGTACACAAGATTTTTAGTTCACTAATTTCAAGCCCTACAAGTTCACCTCTTGATAATGATCCTTTCTGTAGAGTCTAAGGATATTTTCTTGTATGAAATACTATACTAGTCGGGTACCACATGTGAGACCACATGCGTTACCTGGACAGTGAAAGTGTTAAATTGCTATATAGCGCTGGTTAAGAATATCCACTACCCCATATTAGGGACACAGGGAATCAGGCAGGAGATGCGCAGCAACATCTTCCTGATAACAATAATAATAGAGTAAAAAAATGCGGTTGCCAACTTGCTTGCCAAGCGTGGCAACTATGGCAATATACCTCCCATGATGAGAGTTATGAAGAAACAGCCCCCCAGTCCCTGGAGGACCGGCTATTCCTAGCTATGGTGGCGACCACAGTAATGGTGGGGCAGAGAGTGCTAAGAAACTGGTGGAGGTTCAGTTGCCACCTAAGACGACTCTACTCAAATCCTTGAATTCGGCAACTTGTTCTAACACAGGGAGGGCGACCATCTGTCCCAAAGAGGTGGTGGGTTTATCGACCACAAGTCTATCGTTACAACGTTGTAAAGATTGTGAGTATGTAGACAGGGGTTGCGTGCATTATACTCAGAATCACCAAACGGTATTTGTTAAAGGTCATACATGTTTACGCACCAACCGCGGCGCATCCCGATGAGGAGGTGGAGGAAATATATGAGGATATTTCTAGAGTTATGCATTTCTTCAAAACCCACTATTTGGTGTTAATGAGATGAGCAACAGCCCTTTCTCTCTCATTCCAGAAGAGAGGCGCAGAGTAGCCAGCCTCTCGGTATTCTATAGAATAAGATAAGGTTACGAAGGACTGTTTTCCGCAACTCAACGTCGAAGCGCGTATTTTGCGTGTGGGCAGGAAGAATGTAATTATTTGGGTCATGAAATACTCCAAAGAAGTTCAACAGTCTTTATGTTGAAAGCAACGTCGGAAAGTAATCCCGACATGCCGAGATTATTAGCCCTGTATCCAGTGACCTCCGGACATATCAGCAACACGTAGGGCGCCATTTCTTCCTCTCCCATACATACCCTACACATGGGAGTATCTGAAACACCTATTGTAAATAAACGTTTGTTTATAGAGCCATGTCCTGTGATAGCACTTGTTACTATCCTGACCTGTGGCTTGTTCAGTCTCATTAGAACCTTGTATAACTATAAGACTGGGAGGATCTGTTTGAAATAAACAACTGTTTATTTCAAACAGGTCCTCCCAGTCTACAGACTACAAGATTTTTTTAAAGCTGAGCATGTTGATTAGTGAAGTTTCTCAGGGGCGGACCGTGAATTTGTGGGGCTCTGGGCTAACACTAGTAGGGGTCCTACTAATCAAGTCAAAAAACTGTTTTCTGTAATGATGTATTATACGATCTAAAAAAAATTTATGACTGATACATAATCAGCAACTGTAAGACATTACTGCATAAGATATTAACAGGCAGGTTATGTGTAGTTATGTTAAATAAATTATAAAGACCTTTCTAGATTTTTGCGCTGCTAATTCCTTTATTTGCTCATCACATTGTCAATCCTTTGTTAAATCACAATTTATAGAAAGGATTGATAAATAATTTAGTCGATTGTTCAACATTGTTTACCTACTTTGGTAGAGCCATGCTGTAGTTATATTAGTAGTATAGTTGTAGCACGAATGGGTCGGCTCGACCGGGGAAGGACCACGCTCTCACAGCGTCAAATAGTAGCTTAATGCTGCTGTGTTTCGTATGGTGAGTGTAGAGAACCGGAGACCCTTTTTACTGGAAACGAGACATTCCACCTAAGTCCTCACGGATAACAACGCATCTGCATTTTGTTCGTAATCGAGGATAGATGTAGATGTCTATGGGCCCACAGCAACCACTTACCATCAGGACTGGATGAATGAAAGGATGGACTGTGTGCTCATTTGTCATCCTATCCTATAAAAAAAAGCTTCATTTGTTTTCTTTATATAACATCCTGGAGAAACAGTGCACTACTTTACAGCTAGTGTTTGACAACGTAAAAAATTCTACAAGATGACAGTAAAGTAGTTAGGGAAAGCATCAACAAGTTTTTTTTTCATAGATTAGCATAAATATTTCACTTCAAGAGTGTAAGAATCTACCTTAGTCTTTAGTAAGATTTTAACCGAATTCAGTGATTGAATTTCTTACTATATGCCTCATAGACTTGACATTTTCTATTTAAATCCAAAATCCAAAACAACTTATTCAACACAACGTTTAACGTGTCTCATTAAATTTTTTATTGTTATTCTTGTCTTTTACTTATGTATTACTTTTATTTATGTCACTGTATTCCGGTACCACTCTAGTATTTAAGTTTTAAGTCTTCACTGGGGGCTGGGGGCCCCTTATATCCACGGGGCCCTGGGCTGCAGCCCAAAAAGCCTATATATAGATCCGGCCCTGAAGTTTCTATGTACCAGTGATGATGATGATGAATGTTACCAAACGGGATTGGTATGATTGATTCTGGCCCTATAGTGGCCAGAGCCGATACACTTCAGACCAGTTCATTTGCTGCATTGTTGCCCCTGGATCCACTGTGCCCCGTTATCCATTGCAGTCACATTAGAACTAAAGTATTTGCTTCGTCGTTTGTAATGCGTATAGCAAAGTGGTGGAATAATTTTCCGGCGTCTATCTTAAAAGAGTGCAATAATAATGTTATTAAGAAGTATATTTTGTTATGGCTTAAAAACCTTGATTATGAAGATGTAAAAAAATGTTAACACACACACACACACACACACACACACACACACACACGCCAACACACGCACACAAACATTTATTGTAATATTATATATATATATATATATATATATAATAGTATATATATATATATATATATATATATATATGTCAAAATAAAGTTAATATTTATCATTATCTTTCCGTCCGAATATAATTTGTGCGCGTTCCAAGGCAAAAGTGAATAGGCTTTTGTTAAGCTAAGACAGTACAATTTACATCTAGGGCTACGTCACCACTGGCTTATAGTGATTACAAACAAAAGGAACATATTTATATATACCTTTTCTTTATATTTTTTCTGTCAAAAAAGATTTATAATTATAAATATTTATTTATTTGTTCATTCGAAATATTTTAAGCTGCAACAATAAGCAATACGACGAAGTAATTTACTGTTCTAAAAGTGACTAATACTACATTATTAATATATACAACTAAATCAAAATAAACTTCTTATAGCACAAGAACCATGGCCAGACAATGTGAAGTTGTTTCAGCCTTATGAAGTTGAACAAATTTTGCTACCTGATAATGCTAGCTGCCTTGCAGTTCAAGCTTTCTTAAAGGTAAAAACACAATTGAAATGATTTTATTTTATAACATTATAACTGTCTTTGTGTAAAATCATTAAATTAATTTTTCACTTTATAGCAATAATATTCATAAAGTTTATGTCTGTTAGAATTGTAGAAGCTTTTTGAGTATTGGAAATTGTTTTTGATAAATTTCATGTTTATGTTAGAGATTATTATTGTGGCTACAGTAGAAGACCCTGTCACTTTAAAGTGACAAGGTCTTCTGCTGTGTTTATTATTATTATAAATAATAATAACAATTTATTAAAAATTTTAAGTTGCAGTACATATAAAATCTTACATGAGATAGCTATAAAATTAGGTGAAAAAAAACACTACTGAGGGTAACGTACTGTTCTCCTAGCTAGACTAAGAAATAGCCTGTATTAAGGAGATTCAGTATTCATATAATGCAAAACTTCTTTGTATTTCCTTACCATTTTCTTTTATCTTTACACTAGCTGGCCAGGCAGACGTTGTTCTGCCCTTTCCGACGACTTTCCTGTAAAAAATCTTTGAATTCGCAATAAAGAAATTAAGGGTTACTTATCGGGTTAAAAACCATCCTATCTCTTAAGTTGGAAAAACTGCATACAGTGTGCAAAATTTCATTGAAATCAGTTCAGTAGTTTCGGAGTTCATCGCGGACAAACAACGTGACACGTAATCATAATATATATAAATTACGTATCACATTATTTTTAACGATGGACTCCTAAACTACTTAACCGATTTTAATCAAATTTGCACACCGTGTGCAGTTTGGTCCAACTTGAGAGATAGGATAGTTTTTTTGCCCATGAGTGGCCCACAATTTTTTTTGCGAATTGAAGGAATTTTAATAGAACATGACGGGGTCATCGAAAGGGGCAGAACAACGTCTGCCTGGCAAGCTAGTTTTTGTATATAAAGATTATATTTCTTCTGCTTTATGACATACTTATATTATCTATAAATTATATTATGTTCTCTACAGAAAGCTCTTATCGAATTTCAGATGTGCAACCTTCCCTTTGAAGTGGAGATGCGTTGGAATGCAGAGTTTATGTCACCTTCTGGCCGTGTGCCATTTATAAAATGTGGTGCATTTGTAGTATCAGAATTGGAACCTATTGTTCAGTTTGCTGCTAATAAAGGTGTGACACTTTGTGGTCGTTTATCAACTGAGGAAAAAGCTGAAATGCGAGCATATATGAGTCTCATCACCAATGTTCTAGTAAACGCTGAGGTAGGTTTCTGAACAAAGAGGTAGGTTCTTTATTGCCTAAGCAATATGAATCTCTTTTTATTTAATAATGCAAGATACTAATAACTTTTCCTACCTTAAATACAATACATACGTAGGTCACTCAATAAGTTTTGAGATGCTCGAATTTTAGAAATGGAATGCGCCCGTGTTATATGTTTCTAAAAAGCAAATTTATTTAAAAATGGAACTTCATAAGGCAATTGCACGCTATTAAAAAAATCTATTAATTTTCCTGCAACGTTTCCCGCGCTTTTCATTTAAAACGATGGATCTTAACCGTGAACATTTGCGCGCTTTGATCTATTATGATTTTAAATTTGGTTTAATTTAACCGAACAATCAAGTTTACAACGGTTACAATCAGCATTAAGGGATTCAGATCCATCACGCGCAACAATTTATTGGTGGTTTGTTTAATTCAAAAGGTGTAAAATTAACCTTAAAACTTAACCTTAAACAGCAGTAACGGCAGAAAATGTGTGGACTACTGTAATGTTGGTACGAGAAGACCCCCACGAATCACATATACGGACATCGAAAAGAACCATCTTACGTCAACATCTTGGAGTGAGGAAGCTTTGTTGTCGATGGATCCCTCATTTGCTCTCCGAAAGCGAAAAACAGACTCTTGTGGATTGGTGCCATGAAATGCGTCTACGTTTTGAAAACGGGGTATCTAGGCCTGTTTCAGAAATCGTTACTGGTAACGAGACATGGATCTATCAATATGATCCGGAAAATAAAAGGCAATCATCGGTATGGGTCTACTCAGAAGGACAGTTACCGATAAAACTGCAAAGACCCCGTAACGTCGGCAAAAAAATGGTGGCTAGTTTTTTCGCGGAGTGGACATTTGTTGACGTCAATTGCATTACCCAAAGCTTTTTAAGCTGTGCGGGAGAGAAGACCTAAGACCAGGCTTCGGGGAATCTTGCTGCGTCACGATAGCACCTCTTCACATACTTCCCTTAGAACAAAAGCATTTATTGAGGAATCTGGTGTTGAAACTCTAAGTCACCCACCCCCTGACTTTGCTCCTTGTGATTTCTTTTTGTTCCTAAGAGTCAAAGAAAAAATAAAAGGCAAGTTTTTTTTCAAGCGCCGAAGAAGCTGTGGCTGCCTACGAAGAAGCGATTTCTGACCTGTCAGATTAAGACTGGCAAAAGTGTTTTCAGAGTTGGTTTAGGCGAATGGAACTTTGTATAGAGCATGATGGATATTTTGAAAAGATGTAAAATAAATATTAATAGTATCTAGAATACTTTTTGTATATCTCAAAACTTATTCATTGTCCTACGTAGCATGACATTAACACTTCTGCTTCTTAACCTATACACAGTCTACTGTTAGATATCGGCCGGTTCCTCAGGAAAATACTTTTGTAATAAACGTTTGCAATGTTACCTTAATAACCAGCACTGTGTGAGATTTCTTACTTGACAAGCCTTTGCTGAGCACACTGCTAGACATAGGCCTTACCCTTTTCTGATAAGGTTCATGGAGCAGTTAAACCTCCGTGTTGCTCCAGTATGTGTTGCGTGATTTCCCTATGGTATTGTTACGAGCTTAGGGTTCGTGACAATAAAAACTGCCGATTGAATTACCAAAGTTGACACTTTAATTGCTGCACACCAATTAAAACTTAAAACACACTAATAATTAATCACACTGATCACTTTAGTTCACTTTATTTCGCTCCGAAGCTTCGCTTGTAACGCCAATTCAATACTGCCCCCATCGCGGCTTTCAACCGCTTTAAATAGACCTTTTCCACTGAAACATCTAGAATATTCCGGCGAATACCGGTCCTGACCGACTAGGTGGAGAAAGTTCGAGTATGGAGTTTTCCAGAAAGCTTAGTTATTCTATTCGATACTAGATGGCACTGGAGGTGGAATGTTCCAGCATGGCATTTTCTAGAAAGCTCTCGCTCTGTTCCCCGACACTAGATGGCGCTAGTGCCAGGTACCAGACATTAACTTAGGCTCGCAACAGTATCAAACTCAGTTTGAAATTCAAACTTGTTAATGTTTTTTTGCATACTTCATTTATTTCCTCATTCATTACAGCCTATCGTAAGTCCACTGCTGAACATAGGCCTGCACAATATATTGCCTTACAGGCGCGTTGGCAACTGCAGTTTTTTTATTATTATTTTTATATATTATTAATTTCAGTTGTTATCAGGAATATGCTGTTGAATGCCTCGTTGGTCTAGTGGTTGTAGTAGTGCGACTGCTGATCATGAGGTCCTGGGTTCGAATCCCAGATCGAGCCAAAAAAATTAATGAGTTTTTCCGTCAAGAAATTCTCAGTAGTTTATATATATAGTATCTAATATCTAATAATATTTAATATTTTAATATTTAATATTCGCTAATACTTGGGAAACCACGAGATGTACTCTAATATGAACAGTTGTGATTAAATGTAATAAAGCAGGGATGCGCGCGTACTGTACTCTTCATTTGTTGGGCGCTGGCAGAATAACAGCGTTGTGGGTAACTGCATCATTTATGCTGAACTAGAGCCTATTCATTACTACAATATGTAATTATGGTTATTTCTGTGTGTACTGCTTATTGTAATTTTATTGGTGGTAATGAATAAATGTTTTATTATTATTATTATTATTATTAGTTGCCCGAAGTCAGGAAGTTGGCGGTGTCTCACCCCCGTACCTCGGAAAGCACGTTAAGCCATTGGTCCTGCGCCTGATCTCTCTCCGGTCGTGTTGGTTTACCGTCCCATCAGATTATGAGAGTGAGGGAATAGAGAGTGGCTCCCATAACCACTTGGGCACTATAATCCTGTCCTGCGCGAATTTTGGCCACGGCGGACTGCCCAAACAGCGATGCTATCTCCGTTGAGGCAGGCCGAGGACATTATGCTGCTGATTTCATTTTTCACTTTCCTTCTGTCGCTATCTACGACACGCACAAGCTGAAATGTATTTTTGTATGAAACATTATTGTACAAAAAAATTATAAAACACAGGTTCTGCACCTATAATCTAGTCTCCATGCTGTCTCACATCATATGTTAGGTGAAATTAGTTATGAGGGGTTTCATCATTTTTTTATATGCAGTTATACATATCATGGGTGGACACTGAAACCTTCAATGCAGTGACGCGTGTTCGAAACGCGTCCGTGTACCCCTGGCCGTTGGGTTGGCTTCAAACGCGTTCTAAGCGGAACAATGTTATAAAGCGTCTAAAAGCTCTGCATTGGTACAACAAGACTCTGGATCAAGTTTTAGCTGATGTGAGTATGGTATATTTTTTCTAAATAACAAGCTTAACACATCCATTTAAATTTTTTTTAAATTAGGTGTTTATAAAGAATGTATTCCAGCATTCTAAAAAAGTAAATAATATTATGTATTGTGTGGTTTTGGCGTAAAACGTGATTCCATTTTGTTCTGTGAATGTTGTAAGAAGTGAATATGGGAAAGTCAGAGGAATCTCAAGGATTCTGAATTGTGATGGATGGTTTTATAGCCGACAGATAAAAATTATACAGACCTGCGAGGAAGCAGAGTTTAAAGTTTAAGACATCCGTTACTGTGATGGTCAATCTGCCTGTATTTTGCTTAACCAAACTATATATTCTATGACACAGAGTTAATAATACTATAATATTTTTTAAACTAACTTTTTATTTAATGATTTTATCATTTTCGGTCGAAAATACTTATCTCATATAAAAAAATTAATGTTTGTGTGTACATATTTAATACGCCACTATACCTTTCATAAAATTGTGCTAAAAATAAACTTATTCCTTGCACTCACGAGGAGGTTATAGGCATAGTACAATTAACATACAGTAGAGTAGGTGTCGCGCGTACTTTGAATTTTTATTAGAAAAAAGTAAATAGTGGTGTATTGTACGGTGATCTGTCTAAAAGCGTTTTTTTTTCAGACGATCTTTGGAAGGACAATAGTATTGTGAGTCCAGTGTTCCATAATGCAACAGTATTATTACTTCTTACATAGAAGTCTTCAATTCTTAATTCACATAATGTCGTTGGTGTTCAACTTAAGGCAACATAATTATCATCATTTTTATATTTAAAATGTAATTAAGGTGGATTTTAATATTTTTACAGGTTGAACAATGTTGCAACTCACTAAGCCAGCGTCTGGGTGATCGCGACTATTTCTTCGGGACGTAAGTAGTTTCAATGATAATAATATATCGCTATTTATTAAAATAGTTATAGTGTAAACTATGTAGACGTATAGTCTGTTCGCTTTGATACGGTCGCCTCTGTGTCGCGCCGCCTCGGCACATGCCCTATCTTGATAAAGGTGCTGTCGTGATATCAAAGGTCTCCTGGTGTGGCGTACACCCACAGGAAAATCTGGCATTTTAAAATGAAGCGCCATAGTGAAAGGTTCTTTGCTACCTAACTTGTGTTTATTATTTATATTCGTATTTTATTACAATATCCATTAGACTAAAATAGTATTCTATTTTATTCTTAGAATATAAAAACATATTTAACAATCAGTAAAACATAATAAAATAAAAGCGTAATAATTAGTGCGCCCCCGGGTGTACCGACACTATCTTAGTAAACAGATTGTATTTGTACAGGCCGTAAATGGGAAAATGGTAGGTCATATTATGAAGGCGTTAAAGAATCTATCGCTGCTTATAACGCAGATGTAAAGTAACAGAGTTAATTGCGTTTTTTAGAGTAGTTAACAATTCGCCGCGTTTCTCCTATGCATCTCTGTGCACTTCAATTTGGTCGAAATATTTAAATTCCTCTGACATGCAGGTTTTTTCAAGATATTTCCGTTTACCGCCGAGTACTTGGCAAATCTGCACTTAGTTAAGCTTATTTTACAATAGGTTATTTTCCATATATGCACGTCTAAGTGCGTTATTCACGTATGAGTAGGATTATTGTGGTAATTCGAGACATGAAATCTCCTCGAAGGAGTTCGGCAGCCCCTTGATGTTGCCGACGACCTCGGGGATCAGCCTCGGCGTGACGTGATGCTTAGCCCTATATGTGGCCACAGGAGACTGTAACAACTGTGGTAAATAAATGAGCACTTACGAAGAACAGCATTACAGTGCAAGACATGTGATGTTCATTAGAAAATCTGCTTGCAAAATCTGTACAGTCTGCTTTCAAAGAGAGTTGCTCTTTTATAAATAAAAAATGCAAAAATAGGTTGATTACATTTTTTTAAAACTGATATTGAGTGCCATTCTGCATACAAATAGGTATCTAAATAAATTTGTATTCTTACTTTCTTAAAATAATGTAAGGTTGTTTTTTTATTTTAATATAAGATTATTATAACCGAGTATAGCAGCTAGTCTAAAATGACTGGGCTTCCCGTTCCTTATACATTAACCCATTCAAGGCGTCCTTATTACGTAGGGGAGGGCAGTTTAAAGAACTAACGCCGACAAGCGTCGGACGCATCTCATATTTAAACACTTTGACGCCGATTGGCGTTTTCCGCACATGAAAATGCTTTTTAGACAGAATTTTCAGTATTATTGAAATATGACCAGGGATTGCAAACCTTTTTTTTTGATATTTTAAGTTAAAATACTTTTAATAATAGTAATTAGTCTACTTTTTATATTTACTAAGTATAATAAGTAGTGTTTTTAAATAGTAGTTGCAGGAATAAAAAAACACCGAGAAGGGTTTTCAGTTACATGCTATTTCTAGGGCATCATAATTTGTTTCACTTCATAATTAATACTGACTTTCTCTTGAAAGTTAGGCTAGCCATCGTCACCGAGTTTAATAAGTGATGGTGTAAGAAAATTCGGTTTATAAACCAAAGCAATAAACATTTTTATGGCCCTTTTAACCATAAAATGGTACAAAAAATTATTATTCTTATAATTCAAATATGTCTCACAAATGCCTACCAATTATTAAAAATTGATAATCAGTCGTCAATGACGTATTATGTGTACAGAATAAACCTCTTAGAATTATTACTTCTAGCCAAACCCACAATCGTTGCCCAACTCACAATAAGACACGACATTCATTTGCCTCAAATTTTGCCATTTGATGCATTTTATTTTATATACACCCAAATTTCGTGTCACAGTCACTGATGAACTACTCGATACTGATTACAAATAATAATCATATTAACGCGGCAAAATTTTTAACTATCAACTATGAAATCAAGATTGCTCATAGTATGAACCTATAACTGTTTTTTAATTCCATAAAATAAAATATCTAAAATAAATATTTAATCCAAATGTTTTCAATGATGATATGCTCTCCGTTTGGCGTTTTTCGCACCTGAGGAGATTTATTTTTCTTCATTATTTAGAGAGACGGCGACTATAATGATGTTGTATGTATGTAAAACAAAAAGATATCCCTTAAATGCGAAGAGTATAAACTTTTAGAATAATCACCCCTCTCATTTCCCCAGTCGCTCTCTTGCATTTGAACTGACAGGACATTGTAGCCTGCGATATTAAATATTAATATTAAAACAACAGTAGCCTAATGGCAGGGCGCGGACCGCGAACTCAAAAAGGTCGTGGGTTCGAATTCACCATTTCGAATACTAGCGTGAACCACTCGTAACACTAGCAATTTAAGCTTACCACGAGTGGTAAAGGGGAATATTAGTAATATTTATAGCATTGTTGATATTCTTTAAAAAAACATGTGTAATAAACTTTATAAATAAACACAAGAAGACCTAAATAATAATCTTTTATTTACTATAATCCAGTTATGGCCAAAATATAATTTAAGCCGATCGGTGTCATCCACCTAAGAATGACCATTTATATGACGCCGTTGTGCGTCCACCGCCACGAATGGGTTCATCGTCATATTATTTGTATAGAATCCTATGCACCATGTAATAAAATTCTTTCACATTAAATTTTACCCATAATATAGAAAACACCAATAACAAACGCCATTCGGTCTAAAAAATCTCCTTTCATAATCCTGTTCCATGCTGATTTATCCTTGCTCTTCAGACCTACTCCTTTAGATGCCTTGGCATATGGCCACATGCGGGCAATCCTTTCTGCTACTGGACCTAAGGCTGCACTCATGATCAAACCAATTACAGGTGCCCTTTTAAGGCATCTTATAAGGATGACTAATCTAACGCAAATGGCTCTTACGGTAAGTATTCAAAACTGAATTAAACATTACATAATACATAATAAAACATTACATATTTTATTTTCGACCGTGTGGTTTAATGAGCGGAATAAACAATTAAGTGGCGAATCCTTTTAAAGACTTCGACTAGAATTTTAGTACAGGATTTTGTAATTATTTTATTAGATTAGATTCCATAGCATCTAATATATTATGGTGGGATATTAACCATCTTCAGCTTCTATGATGCGAGACGTCTGTTGCATCGATCGTTTATCCGCCTGCCAAGTAATAATCATCTATTTATTTAAAACTTTATACATAATACTTTATACAAATGTATACACACGTGGTATATATGCGGACTTAATGTCTGAGGTATTTTCTACCTAGTGTACTTTGGGGTGATGCAGAGATAGAATGACGTAAGCGTAGGAAAAAAGTTAATAGCAGTCTTTTTACAAATACGCTCTTTAACGCGTGAATTGGCTTACGCATGGGAAAGAGTGCGCATGTAAATATAGGAAAGGAGAACGAGAATGCACGCATGCAAGTCTGTGCGCTTCAAACAATTTACACGCGCGGTTTTGTGAAAACGAAAGTCGTCGTTAAACGGCAGATATTAAATTATGGAGCAACGATGTTATTTCAGAGTTTTTGGCAAAAGTCTCTAGCGTGCCATTTTATGTTTGATTTTATTTAATAATATATTAAAAATAATAAATATATAATCTATTATGTGCTTAGATCAGCAAACATAACTGCTTGTGTAATATTTCTTATAACCCTTTTGTCCATTTCTTCAGAACGCCTGTCATCAAAACGCGTGTTAAATAAAAGACATAAGTACTTACATATTATAATATCGGATCAGATGTATATATTCGTAAAGATATACCTATATACATATAGTAACATGTATTTATTACATACAATAATGTCTTCCAGATAAAATTTCCGTCACGTAGGCCAGCCTAAATGCAGACTAGCCATCAGTGCAGTACAGGATTATAGTGAACCGGTTTGTGTGCCAACGCAGGTGCACTCTCTATTCCCTCAATTCCATAATGCGATGGAGCGGAATGGAACGACAATCCGACCCAACCGGGAGAGAGATCGAACCCAGAACCAACGACTTTAAGTGCTTTCTGAGATAGTGGGGTGAAACACCTTCCTGACTCCTGGCTGCTACTGAGAATTTCGTGACCGAAAATTCCAATAACTGATTTTGGCCCGACCTGGGCTTCAAACCCGGAACCTCATGATCAGTAATCACGTTTACCAGCACTAGACCAACGAGGCAGATTCGCTGCCAAACATGATCATTACAGCAATACTCCTCGTATTAAAATGGAAGAGGTCGATATTCAGCTCGATACAGTTTACAAAGATTACGCTACAGAAGAAATATAATTTGGACGGTAACATGTGTTGATGGAAATTTGACTGTCGATTGAGAATATGACATTACGCTATTACTTAGTTTTATGCTCAAGTTTAAGTACCTATTATTTCTACAACAATTTTTTTTAAATATGTCGTCATGTTATATTGATAATAATGGATATTTAGAGAGTATCATAAATGTATTATAAAAGAAGAATAGGTTCGATAATAATTTGTAAGATTAGTGAGGGTATCTTAATAAATAAACTCCGTTTGATGTAGTTACGTATGTCTTATTTCATTTAGCCCCAAGAGGAATATTTACTAAGCCAAGCCTCTCAGATATCTCATATCAGAAAGCGTATTACTTCAGAGATGAATACGTCAAAAAGCAGCGCACGAATTAAGCGATCTAAGCTATGCATCAAGAGCTCAAGCAGAGATATTGTCGCGTGCAACAGAGATGTCTTTGGTTAACTGCTTTTATTTTTAACTTGTTTGTTTGTTTGTTATATTTTCTACATTGATGCCCATATTAAAAACATATAAAATTAAAGCAAATTTATAATTACACAGGATTCAAACCCTTTGCCTCCAAACAAATAATAATAATGACATCAGAAGGGGGCAAAGTGACTTGCGAGGATGACGATCC